AGGGTCCAGCGTCGGGGGCCGGGAGGAACGCCACCCCGACGGCGAGGAGCAGCTCTGCGCCTGGGTGTGACCCCGGCGGCCCTCCAAGGACTCGAGACCTCCAAACCCCGGAGGCCCCCGCACTCCGCTCGGTGACTCCCGTAAGGCGGCCCCGGGGCGGCGAACTTGCCGTCTGCGTCCAGGTCAGCCTCGGGCTCGAGCGCAGTGCCCCGAGTGGCCGGGAGACGGCGCTCGACTCTCCGGACTGGGGTCCGCCCTGCCCCACGCCCGCGGGCACCCCGGCTGCCGAGAGGCTGGAGCGCCCCCTAGGAGGCGGGATGGCTCTCCGCGGACGGCACCTGGCCGGGCGCGCCGACGGGCGGCCTCTCTGGCTTCTGCCCCTGTGGCTGCCCTGGGCTCCTGCCCCCTCACCAAACACAGCCCCTGCGGACCCCGAGTCTGGTCAGCCAGGGGCCCTCCAGAGGGTTTGGAGGGGGCGAGACGTCCAGGCTCCACCAGAGCCCGTGTTTCCCGAAGCTCAGCGATGACCAGAGCACCAGGGCTCGCAGGGCTCAGCCTCAGACCAGGGCCAGGGCTCAGCTTGTGGCCAGGTTAGAGTTCAGCCTGAGACCAGGGCCAGGGCTCAGCTTGTGGCCAGGTTAGAGTTCAGCCTGAGACCAGGGCCAGGGCTCAGCTTGTGGCCAGGTTAGAGTTCAGCCTCAGACCAGGGCCAGGGCTCAGCCGGTGCCCAGGGTTAGAGTTCAGCCTGAGACCAGGGCCAGGGCTCAGCTTGTGGCCAGGTTAGAGTTCAGCCTGAGACCAGGGTCAGGGCTCAGCTTGTGGCCAGGTTGGAGCNTTAGAGTTCAGCCTGAGACCAGGGCCAGGGCTCAGCTTGTGGCCAGGTTAGAGTTCAGCCTGAGACCAGGGCCAGGGCTCAGCTTGTGGCCAGGTTAGAGTTCAGCCTCAGACCAGGGCCAGGGCTCAGCCGGTGCCCAGGGTTAGAGTTCAGCCTGAGACCAGGGCCAGGGCTCAGCTTGTGGCCAGGTTAGAGTTCAGCCTGAGACCAGGGCCAGGGCTCAGCCGGTGCCCAGGGTTAGCATTTAGACAGGCACCAGAGTAAGGGTTCACTCTGTTCTCTCCAGATAATTTTAAGGTTTTCTGTGTCATCTGCATTGTGTCCTGTGCTTTAAGTGTGTTTCTAGTTATGGATATAATATGTTCTTAATTATCTGTTTGTTACATACGGTGTTTCCCGTTCCTGGGGATTCACAAACTTCACCAGTTCTGGGGAATTCTCACCTGGCACCCCTTGAGCTCTCCCTCTCATTTGTTGTACATGTTCTTGGGGAAAGCTTCACCCTCAATGCCAACTCATCTCCCTTGTATTTTCCATCCCATTGTCTCTCTCTGCCGCCTTCCGGGCAATTCCTTCGGCTCCCTCTTCCAGTTCAGACTCACTTGCTGTGTCTAACCTGCCTGTTAACTCAGCCATTTGATTTTAAATTATCGTACCTAAAAGCTCTACTTGTTTCCTTTTCAAATCTCATTTTGATGGTCTCTTGGTGGGATGCTTGATTTTTGGATTCCAGCTCCGATTTCTTGAACAATTCACAGTTATTTTATATTCTGTCCCTAACACTTCCAACTTGTTAGTCTTGGGGAGTGTGGGGGTGTCTGACTTTGCTATGTGTTGTTTCTGCGGATTCTCACTAATAGCATATTGTTTCTCTGAAAGTTGGCTCATTTGTCATTGTCAGCCCATACCTGTGAAATTTTGGGGGCCGCTTCCCTCCAGAGAGGCACTGCCAGCCTGCCCCCCCCCCCGATAGGGTCCTGGTTTGGTAGCCCCCGTGCCATGCCACACTAGCTCCCTGATTGCAGGGTGGCTCCCCCAGCCCTGTGTCCAGAGAATCCTCTGCTTCCCCATCTGTGTTCCCGCATCATCCTAGGTCTCTGCTCACTATTCTGTTTATCTATTTTCAGTGTTTGATTCTGGAGGGACCTTGGAGATATTTACTCCCTTGTAAGCCCAGCAGTGTATTAAAAAATGTGAGCTTGTTGTAATCCGCCCAGAGCCTAGCGGTAGCTGAAAGGCCTTTTAAAGGATCCAGCACACACTGCCAGCTGGACTCCGCCTGTGACCCGCAGGGTCAGGTCTCAGATGCTCCCAAAGATCGGGACTGGCTGTTCAGGGTATGACCAGAGTCAGGGCTCATTCTGTGGCCTACAGCAGAGCTCGCTGTAGCTGGCTCAGGTCCAGCAGGAGTCCTCGGGGTTTTCCAATTGTCTGTGCCCGGCTCTGATGCTATTCCCAGTCAGACAGGAACCTGGCCAGTCGCCCAGCTGCCAAGGATAACTTCTCCTGGTCCAAGGCCGCCTTCCTTCCCCTCCGGCCCAGGGTTGGGCTGGCTCTGGCCAGGCGTCTAGGATGAGGACTCTCCTGAGGATAGGCCTGGCCCTGGAGTCATCAAACAACAGCTGGGTCTGGTGGGGGTGGGGAGCTCAGCTGCCTGAGGAGGCAGCACAGTTCCTAAGGTGTGTCCCAGTGTCCAGGGCCAGACCTGAGCCCCAGGGAAGTCCTGCCTCAGTCCCAGCTCCTTCCCACTGGCTCACAAAAGGACACCTGCGTGGGGCTGCTTTTAGAGGGCCAGCTGTCAGGGAAATTGGGACACTGTGTGCTAGGGACCAAGGGTTGACTCATCAGAGAGAACCAGAAACAGGCCCCAGGGCCTGGGGAAGGCTGAGGAGGACCCTCCATTCTTTTATGTGTCCAAGGTACTCTTCCTTACCTGCTGCCATTTGGACAGGTTCCTGGGAAGGGGGTGGGAGGGTCTGAGCTAAGGGGAGACAGGGCCCTGGACCTCCAGCCAGAAGATTTCCCCTCCTCAAGGCCTGTCATTCAGGCAACCTATCTGGGCCTTTCTATCCCCCTGGGCAGGACCGACCCCATCCGAACCCCAGAGATTTCTGTTTCTAAACCTTTGCCCACCATGGTGCCCATGACAGAAGCCCCTCTTTCAGAGCCTCAGCCCCCCAGGCCCAGACCCCATCCTGATGGAGCCTCTGCTCCCCTTTCCCAAGAAAGTCCCCTCAACCCCAGTCAAGAATGGCCCATCCATCCCCACCCTAAATAAAGTTCTAGGAGCACTGACCTCAACACCCCTGAACCCATCCAGGGACCCAAACTCCTCAGCAAGCAGGTGCTGAGCTACTGGATGGGTCAGGGGAAGACCTACACTTGGGAAAATGCAAACTCTTTCCCCACCCAGGTTCCCAGGCCCCTGCTCTGTAAGAACGTGCCTGGCTGGGGGGCCTCCATGCACCTGTGTGTGCATTGTGTGTGTGCATTGTGTGTGTGTGTACATGTTCTGGCTTGTGCCTGTGGGTATCTATTTTATCTGCCTTCCCTCACATCTTGGTGGGGGGGGGAAGGCATTATCCCAACCCCACAGGTATGAAGACTGTGCAAGGTTCCCTGACCTGCCCAAGGTCATTTATTCACGCACGAAGTATTTCCTGGGAGCTGAGGCATCTGCAGGCACACCCTTAGACAGCAAGGAGCGGCTAGGAGGAGTCCGGGGATTGGGCCAGTTCTCTTTAGCTTGCACCCAGTTGTGGGCCCTGCCCTCACCCAGGCATGTCGGCCAGGCAAGGGGTGCTGGGCAGGAAGTGAGCAGGGGTAGGTGGGCTGGGTAGAGTGGGGAGGAACAGACTTTCCTCTACCCGCAGGGCTCCTCTAGCTGGTCTAATAATGAAATAGGCCTGAGACAGATTAGCGATAGAAAATAGCCAAATTTTAGACATAGGTGTGCACACCTGAGAGACAGACCCCCACGTGCACGAGAGGAGAGGATCAGAGACAGAAGGGAACCAGGGTCTGTAAGACACAGAAACGGGTCCTGCCCTGAGACAGGTCAGAAGAGGTCATCGCTGATAATCTCTCACTAGGGGCAAGGCCTCTGATTCAAGTTTTTCCAGGTAGTCAGGGAGGGGCAGAAGCTTCTCTTGAGCCTGAGGCTAACGTTACCTTCGATCTGTGTCCCACTGAGGGACAGCTTTTTTGTTTGTTTTTTCTTAACACTCACCCGAGGATATTTTTTTGTTGATGATTTTTTTTGTTGTTGTTAGAGAGTGGAAGGGTGGGGGTGGGGAGAGAGAAAAAAAATGTCATCATGAGAGAGACATGTAATTGGTTGCCTCCAATTGGGGATCTAACCTGCAACCCAGGTACATGCCCTTTACCCGGAATCTGAACCCACTACCCTTCAGTTCATTGGCCGATGCTCTAACCACTGAGTCACACCGGGCAGGGCTGAAGCACATCGAGGGATGAATTGACCTGGACCCCACAATAGGAACAGGCAGAGCCTGGTTCTGATGTCTAAGGCCCTTGCCCCCCTGAGCCACACTCCCACTTCTGGGGAGTCCGTTCTCAAGGTGTTGACACAAGTCAGTCCCTCCCTGCTCTCTCCTTCCCCATACAATCCTGTCTGGACCCTGCCTGGGGCGGGGTGCAGTGGTCACCTCTCTGTAACAGAAGATTCCAGAGGGAACCAAAGCTAGGGGTCCCACCTCTGGAGGACACCACTGTTAGTTCCCGCGCAGGCTGAAACCCTCCCACCCCTGCCCATTAGGCTCTACCTCTGACAGCGGCTACCCAGGAGTCTCCTTGGAGGCCTTGAATCAGCACCACCCTCCCCATGGGCCCTGGCCTGCCCCATGAAGGCCCTACAGCCCACCCCCTCCATTTCTGCCCCTCAGCCCTCCTTACTGCTCTCACACACACCTGCCTGCCCTAAACCCAGGAGCTTAGCATGTCCTGTAGTTGATGCCCCCTGGTCTGACACGGCCTGCCCTCCACCCTCTGTAGACAGGAATCTGCAGGCAAGCTACTGCTTGTCCCCTTTCTAACCCTGCAGTGCTGGGAGGACAGGGCTGTGCCCAGTACCTGCATGTCCCTGTTGCGGGCAGTGGGAACAGCACCAGGTGTTAGAAGGGTGGGTGGGGTCAGACCGGACCTGGGTTCGGCAACCTCAGCACTTGAATACTGGCTAGGAAAGAATCAGAGCCAAGACTCAACTGTAAGAGAACATTTATTAGGAAAATCCAAGGTACAAGTAATTCCTAGAAGAAGTGGGCTTAGGAAACAAGTTATAGAGGTAGAGGAAGGGCCCTTGGAGCCTAGAAGTGAGGAAGGTAAAGGTGACCCCTGGTGGGGGAGGGGGAAAGGCATGGGACAGCTCCTGGGAGGGAGAGTGTTCTAAGGCCTCCGTCCTAAGGCTTTTAAGGATGGAAATTTTACCAGAGGTCCCAGGGTAAGATCTCAATAGAATATTCAGCAGCTTTCCAAGTGTGTCCTTTCAGGGTCAAGTCTCCACTGATTAATTGGTGGGCACCAGGGAAGGGCATCATTACCAATGCAGCTGGTCCTGAGGGCAGCCATGGGGTCGCTGGTCTGGTTTTGCTGCTTTTCTGGGCCTGGAGCTGAAATACAACTGAGGCCTCTAGGGAGGAAAGGGGATCCAAACCGCGTATGACGCATGACCAGCGATATGCTACGGGAGGAAAGGTCACCCTGGGCTGGAGTTCCCACCCAACAGTTGTCCTTTGTTAGGCCCCCAGGGCTTTCTGCCCTGGTGACCTTCTGTACCTGGCCCATTATCCTTGCTCTGCTCATGTCTGTCTAACTGCCTACCACACCCACACTGCACAACCGGCCTGTGGCAGGGCTCAGCACAGAGGATGGACGGACGCAGATGGGGTGGTACCCACCCCACGCTCAGCCTGCCCACCCCACCAGGCGTCTTCCCTGCCACCCTGGTGGGGCACTGGGTAGGGGTCCGTGCTAGGACCACAGGCTGCAGGCCTGGGTTCCTGGGAGTGAGAGGCTGGGACATGCAGACCCCCAGACAGGTCCTCAGGCCCTGGCACATCCCTGACCACAAACAGACAGGTTGAGTCTAGAAGAATGTGTGGGTGAGGCAGCTGGGTGGGCTTGGAAGGGGCCTCTGGGACCTGCTGCTCTCAGTTGCCCTTCCCTGTGTCCTACTTACTGTTGTAGGGAAAGGTCGGGGGGGCCTTGGCTTGCCCCACAGCCCAGTCCCAGGCCCAGGGCAGCCGCCCCCCTTTTCTGTTTCTGTCTGGGGAGATACAACAACGTGAAAACACAGCTGAAGGGGGGTAGGGGGCAGGTCCTTCTGCCCCTCAGGCCCAGTAAAGAGTCCTAGGCTGGGTGAGGGGTGAGGTCAGAAGCCCAGGGAGCTGCCCTTTTCCTTGGGGTCAACATGACCACAGTGAGCTGGGGACAAAAGGCCCTTCTTCTCTGCAAAGGCCTGGACTGTGCGGAGGAGGGAGTAAGCTTGGACCGGGTGGGGGCAGGGTGGTGCCTACAGAGTAGTGTCCCTGGGTTTCCTGGAACCCTCTCCACCTGCCTGTGGACAGACAGGCGGGCAGGCTAGCTCCGGGAAGTGATGCACAGGGTCTCCCAGCTGGACCAAGGTCACAACGCCAGGACTGAGCAGGGCTGGGCCCAGGGGAGGGAGAGGCCTGGGGGCCAGGGCCTGCTGTGTCCTGGCGCCTCTGTTCCTCTCTGCCCCTCCTTGCCCCCAGCCTGCCTTCCCTCAGAGAGGAGCTTTCCGGACCATTATATTTGTGTTTCCTCTGGCGTCTGCCTCAAGCTTAAGCCCTGGCCCTGACCACTATACCCCTGGCTGACCCCTAGCTCCCCGGGGACTTTCTGTCTGGCCAGGTCTCCCCAGGGTGGGGATGGGGGCTGCAGGACAGAGAAATGAGACTTGGGGCCAGGGAGGAGAACTGAGGAGGAGGCAGGGGGAGTCCCCTGGGGGTCAGGTGGGAGCTCAACGTGAGCAGCAGAAGTGACTCCTGGCAGAGCTGAGGAGGAGCTGTAGGAGCTCTCGGCCAGGGCTGGGTAGAGGCCCTGGCTGAGGACTCCTGAGCCTGGGACTCCCATCCCTTCTCCCTCTGATGCAGAGGCTAGAGGCAGGAGGGCGGCTGCTTCCTCGAGGGCTTGAGTCACAGCCAAGAAGACCCGCTCAGTTTTTCCAGAAGGGACGGAAACTTCCCCGTCAGCCCTGCAGCTCAGGCCTTGCTGCGACTGTGGGCAGGAGTGGGGGACAAGCGGGAAGCCACTGCCTTGCCACAGTGGGTACCCACGATGGCCCAGTTCCATGTTCCAGGCAGGTGGGTGCCCAGGGAGATGGCAGATGAAGCAAGAAGTATTTGGATGTGTTTGCATGGGTGTGCCACCCCCAGGGCCCCCTGGGCCTCCTCCAGCTGTTGCTGCTGCCTGACCCTGGCCTCTGCTCCCAGTCCCGTCTCCACAGCAGCCCTGAAGCCTCGCGTGCTAGAGAGCTTGGGAGCCAAGCAGGGCTCCTCTGGGCAGCACACCCTGGACTTTGGGGGCCCAAGCCCATTGCTTCCCCATGGGGCCCAGGCGGAAGCACCAGGCAGTTTCTGGTCCCTGCCGAGGCCTGAGGTCTGTGGAGCTGAGCCAGCACGGCCACTGCCAAGATTCCCGGGGAAGGGGTGGGGGCGGCGGGGACACAGTTCTCATTCTGTTCCTGCCCGGGCTTCTCAGGCTTGGCTGAACCGCTTCCTTTTTTAGGCAAAGTGGAGCTCGGCCTGTCTGCAGCCTTCTCACCTGCCAGAAAGGGAGGAAGGAAAACCATTGAGTCCCATCTGTCTTCCGCAAAGAGCATCCCCTGGGACGGTGGGAAGGGAGGGGACATCCTGGCAAAGTTGCCTTTGGGGGTCCTGTGCCCCCAGCTCTGCAGAGAGGAGTGGCTGGGAGAGAGTTACCTCACAGGAAGGCACCTTAGGAGTGAGGGGTCCTGGCTCTCCTCAACCTCAGCTCCAGCCCGGGGGGCACTGTCCTACCTCACCTAAGGGCAGGAAGTCTGCCTGAGGGGCTAGGCGTCCCTCAGGATGTCCCCTGCAGCCAGCCACTTCTGGTCTGGCCTAGCAGGTCTGGTAAGGTTCACTAGTGGGACCCTCCGGAGGGGAAGGGGGCTCCAGTGGGTTGCTGGGTGTCTGTCCTCCGTCATGCGGTTTGACCTCAGCCCAGACCCTAGGCCCCTCATGGGGCAGGGTGTAAGGGGACAGCGATAGGCCTAGTATGGTGACACTGGACAGGGCCTGAGCTGGCCATCCCCAGCTCCCATGCCTCTCTCTCCAAGAAGCCAGGTGCGGTGGGGTTTTGTGTCCCCCAAGGAGCCCATCTTCAAGTGTCCAGGCTTCTGTGCTATGTCCAATGCCCTGTGTCTTTCTAAGTTCAGCCCTTCCAATCCCTGCTGGGCAGTCCTTGGGGACACTTGTCCCAGCCCCAAGACACCTCCCCCTCACCCAGCCCTGTGACCCAGCGGGGACCAGGGCCTGAGCCTTGTTAGAGGTACATCGTTCCTGGTGTCACCCCCACCCTCTCACACCCCCCGGGTCCTCTCGGGCACTGCGAAGACCTGGGCAGTGGGCCGGGGATGACCCAACGTGGGGGTGCCCCGTCTGCGCCCGGCTGGGAGCGCGCAGGGCGGACCCCGCGGTCCCAGGGCCGTAAGGGGAGACCCCGGGTCCGCGCGCAGAC